GTGCTGCTTTGTCTGGGGCTGGGCCCTGCTCGGCGCTGCCCGGGGCCGGGCCCGAGGGTCTGCACCGTCCCACGGAGACTCGCCCTGACTCTGTCTCACCAGCATCCAGCAGCTGAGGAGCAAAGTGTCGGAGGAACACGAGGTCATCAAGAAGAAGGAGCTGGAGACCGGCCCCAAGGCCTCCTATGGCTATGGGGGCAAATTCGGAACGGAGCGGGACCGGATGGATAAGGTGAGGGTCGGGGAGCGCTCCCTCGGGCCCCTTTTTCCCGTAAAGGAGAGAGCATCCCTGTTTTCTGGTCCGACCCTGCAGGGAGAGGATGGAGAGCCGGCGTGGCTGCGCATTCATACCTGTCTCGCTCGCCCGTAGTCTGTCTCCAGGGTTGGTTTGAGCCCGTTGCTGTAATTTGTCTCTGCAACTTCATTGCAACACTCCCCTCAGCTGTGAAGAAGAACTTACTGTGGCTTGTTTCAGTCCGGCTGCGTAACAATTATATTAGGTGCCTCCCTACTTGTGCTTCAAGAACTCATGAGGAATAATTCCCTCCTCGCATTTCCCATTACAGACTTCTGTCATATATCCCCAGGTTGAAGCCCTAGTGCACATTCTCTGTTCTCACACCAAATCTGTTTTACAGATCTTCTGGTAATCATCATCCTGCTTCGTGTACCTTTCAGCATTTAATACTTCTATTTTTTCAGAAATGAGATGGTAAGATTGCAGTAGTATTCAGCATATGGGCTCGCTGTGGGTGTGCATGACACCAGGGTGAGAAACAAGGCATTTCTGGGGGGCCAAACCGGAGCAGCCACGCTTAGACCCTTCTGCCGGAGCAGAATGAGGATGTATTTGTTGAACAGCTCCTCGGCCTCCGTCCAGACTTACCAGGATGTTGGAGGCATTCAGCCTCTGGCCCTTCTCCTGAGGAGTGTGTGCAATTCCTGGCCACACCGCCTCCGCCAGCGAGCAGTGGGACCCCAGCCTGCCTGTGCTAGGCGCGAAGGGTGATCCCAGCCAGCTCTGCTGACCCTCACTCTCAGAGAATAGGGAGCAGCTGCCAGACCTGCTGCCTGCAGGTTTTCAGTTGTGTGTGCCTGTCCGCAACTCTCTCCTCGGTTTCCCCATACGATTATCCGCCACTCCACTGGTGTTTGGGAGCAGCAGGTATTCAGCACCGCGCAGTTTGCATGATGAGCTGGCAGCAGGGCTGGCTGTGTGGGATGGTTCCTCCTGAAGCTGCAGCACAGGTCTCAGAGCAGAGGTGGTACTGGCAAGCAGTCTGCGGAAGGTGTTGCCACCACCAGCACCGTCAGTTTGAACCCGTCGCCTTGTGGCTGCAGAAATCTCAGCACCGGGGCAGAGCAACCGCCTGGTGCCCGTATCTCTGTCCACACTGCCAGTCTGCCTGTGGCACTTATGTCGTGCTGTCTCTCTTCTCAGTGTGCAGTGGGCCATGAGTATGTTGCTGATGTTGGGAAGCACTCCTCGCAGACGGACGCAGCCCAGGGCTTTGGCGGGAAGTACGGAGTCCAGCGGGACCGAGCTGACAAGGTGTGTTGGACAGGGCAGCTGAAATACGTATGTGTGGCCTGTGCTCAGTGCTGCCACAGAATCTGTGCTACGTTTAGGATTGTGGCTGCAGTTTTCAAAGTGCTGGTGGGCACAAGTCTAGGCACACGGTGCACCACAGTCTCTACAGAAGCACGCAGGTCACTTCCTGTGTGCGGGACAATGACGGATGACAAATTGAAGGGCACTTGTGAAGATTAGCTCTCCGGTGCGCATTAACATGCTTGCACTATCCTGCCCAGGCTGCTGTCCTAGGGGCTGTGGTGTTTTGCACCTCCAGGCCCCAAGCTTTGCCACGCACAGTGCCTGGCCGTGGCAGGACTGGATGGGGACAGCAGGATGCCGTCCCTCCGTGCACATCTTGGTGTCAGATGCTGCCCAGCTGCCTTGCTTGCTGACAGGGTGTGGGGGTCAGGGTTGTGGCCCTCCCTGGAGTGTATGGGCTCTTGCAAGGGCCCGTTCCTGGGCACGCTGCCACGTGGACAGCGGGGGTGGTGTGAGAGGCTGCGGAGGCCTGTGCCAGCCCAGGAATGGCCAGGTGCCTGCACAAGACCAGGAGCAGGGTCCCAGCCTGGCCCCTGGAGAAGGGTGGGTGAGACCTGCCTTGGTCCTCAGGCTGGCTGACATTCCTCCCCTTCATATTCCAGTCAGCGCTGGGCTTTGAGTACAAGGGTGACGTGGAGAAACACTCGTCCCAGAAAGGCAAGTCCATGTACACGTGTGGCCCCTTGGCACTGCCCAGCTTCTCTTCTGCTCCCAGTACCCTGTGCTGTCTGCTGCGGCACAGCCTCCGTTCTTATCCCCCTCCTGCCACTGGTCTCAGATTCCCATTCCCAGTCAGTCACCCTTGTGGCCCCATTTCCTGCTGTCTTGTCACCTTCTGTTGTACATTCTGCTTGTCTCTGTGTTTTGCTTTGATGGAAACCACATCATGGCTGAGCAGAGAAGACACCCCCACATGCACCCCCGGTGGAAGGCTGATGGCCCCTTTCCTCTGAAAGTCCTGAGCAGCTGCTCCAGTGGGAACCCAAGCACTGTAGGATGCAAGAAGTGATTTCTGAAAAAGTGGCGTATAAGAAAAGGTACCACAGTGGGTATGGAAACAAAAGCCTATGCAGCACCCAAACTTTTGCAGGATTCTGGAGATGATTCAACCAAACTTTGACATGCAAACATTGCAAGAACTGAAACTGAAGCTATTTTAAATATTTTGCAACCAAGAAAAGATGAGCGGGCAAGCTCTGTTACTGTTTCAGATAAATGAGGAGTACTGCATTGCCAGAAGAGAAGAACCGAATCATGTTAATTTCAGAGGAAACTGTAAAAGAAGGAAGATGTTTTGAGGCATTCTTGGCTGATCTTAATGAATCACATGCAGTTGTGCTAGGTAAAACATGTTCCTGTTTAAGAGACTGTATACTAGATTGTAGACAGAAATTCATCAGGCTGTGTAGGACCACAGAAATCGCTCAGGACAAAATGAAAATGTTAGAAATGCATTAAGGTGTTTGGATTGTTTTTCATAAAAATGGGTCCATACTGGGAACTCCAGCGTCAAGGTAACAGTCATAAAATATTTGCTGAAAACAGCATCCTGAACCATCCATTTTGTAATGGCCTAATGGGTAAATAATAGTTTATCAAGATAAGAAATTTCTGGGACTTACAGATTCATCCTTAAGTGCCTGAGCTTCTATGAAACAGAGAGCCATTCTTGAATACAAATGTTTTGGCACATATTTCTCTAGATCACAGTCTTCATGGGCTGATACGGCTGAATTTGCTGGAGAAGCCTCAGCTCATTCCTGTGAAGTGCAGACCTGTAAGAACAGGGTCAGGGAACAGAGGTAACTGATTTATTCCTTCTGTGGGGTAGGATTTGGAAACAGAGCTGGCAGACCCCAGGTCTCTTAAGTGTGTCTATACAGCCAGCAGCTAGGATAGAGACTGAAATTTCTTAGCACTTCAGCCAGTAGTAACAAGGTAGTCCTTAGAGAATAACTGAACACAGCTGAAGGAGTTAATACATGGCTGGTTTAGAAGATGGGAGGAGGGGAGGCGTAAGGAAGACCTGCTGTGCCCCTCACATAATGGTGCCAGAGGCAGGCTGGGGGAGAGCTGGAGCACGTCTCCAGAAATGTGGGTTTCAGCCTTCGCTGCAGCATCGAGTCAGTGGCTTCCTTGTAGGAACTGAGATTCTGTTATAACAGATGTAAGCCATACAACAGAAGTTTGTCATTTCTTCTGTAGTTTCAAGGGCTCAATGTAGTTATTCACAGACCTTTTCTGAGACTGGCAGACCAGAGGTTGAAGTCCTTGCTCTGGAGATAGGAGTGGGTGGATGCCCAGGCTGTGAGTGCCCGAGTCGTGCCTTGCAGAGCTCCCGCTGCCTCCCCAGCTGCCCTTGGCATGTCACCCGCCCTCTCGGCCTGCAGTGTTTCCTTCTGCCTACAGCTCTCAGGCTCTCTTGCTGCCATGACCCACGCTTGCCCTGTGTACCCATTCCCATGGGTCCTTGTCCTCAATGCCCCTTATGGTGCTCCCTAACATCACTCTGTCCCCTCCCAATCCCTTGTTTTCTGTAGTTTTCCATATCCCTGCTTCTCTTCCTCCTTCCTGGTGCTCCTCCTCAGTGCTGTTGTCCATCTTTACCCCCTCACCTCACCAGCCCCACGCTTGGGGCAGCGTTTCACTCCATGTACCATCTCAGATTACTCCAAGGGCTTTGGTGGCCGTTACGGTGTGGAGAGGGACAAGGTGGACAAAGCGGCGGTGGGATTCGACTACAAGAGCCAGGCAGAGAAGCACAACTCTCAGAAAGGTGAGCTAGGGGAGCCCAGTGCAGCAGGCAGTGTCAGGCCTGTGTCCGCTGGGGCTGTGGGGCACTGTGCTTGGTTTTTGCAACCTGCTGCATGAATGGTGGAACAGCTGCGGGGAGCTGCTGGGTGCCCACTGCATGCAGCGAGGGAATAGGTCAGGTGAGGAAAGCCATTGCACTGTGCGTGACTGCTGGGAAAAGTGCAGGCCAAATGAAGAGGAGCAGCAGATTTCTGTGGGCACAGGGATCTCCTGGGCAGTGTGTCACCAAAGGAAGGGTGCAGGGGGAGCCCGGGCAGGTGTTGATAGCAGGGAACTTGTCCTGGGGAGGAGGGAGGGCTGTTGTTGCAGCCACCACTGGGGAAATCCGGCCTTGCACCATGTCTCTAAGTCCTAGGCAGGAAGAACCACTGCCCCTGTGAGAACAGCCTGAGCTCTTGGTGCTGCTGCTTTTCTCTTTCCCTCCCTTGTCTGTCCCCTTCTATGCCATGATCTGGATCCCTGTGGCTGAAGACTATACTGTGGGCTTTGGTGGGAAGTTTGGGGTCCAGAGGGATCGTCAGGACAAGAGTGCCCTTGGCTGGGACCATCAGGAGGAAGTGCAACCCCACGCATCCCAAACAGGTAGGGCAGTGCTGCGAGAGGTGGTTCATGCTTGACAGAGATACAGCTCCTGAAAACTGAATGTGTACGGCATGCTGTGGAGCAGCTGGGACACCGTGAACCCCCGAAGCACAAGGGTGAACTCTGCCAGCGTAGGTGCATGCCTAGATCAGTGAGGGGACATGGAATGCCAGTCCCTGAATCAGGCTTCCCAGGCTAAACCATGCTTTCTCAGTGAGACACGTTCCTGATCATAAGATCATTCAAAAGGTGAGCACATGGGAAAGCAGGTTCCAGGAGTGGCTTGACTACTGTATGTTTAATTTCAGTGAACAAGGCCACACTGCACTCACATGGCATGCCTGGCTTCTCACCACAGTGCCTTGGAAGCAGATTTGCCACTGTACAGAACTGAACAACTGTGCACTTCACTGAAAGGAATGGAGAATTAGTCTTAAAAGCTACTGTCCAGAGCATTTTTTGGCATGTATTATCTCTACTTAGTTCCATATGTGATGAGATGCAAAGCTAACCCGTTTCACTGGTCACACTATACTGAAGTCAAAGGCACACACAGAATATAGAAGATTATAAAACAGCTCCATTTTTTCCATACAGACTATGCCAAGGGGTTTGGAGGCCGTTACGGGGTCCAGAAGGACAGAGTAGATAAGGTAAGACTGCACACTGCAGCCGCAGTTGCTTCCCGCCCATCACTGCTCTGCGCTGCTGCAGGAGAGACCCCGGGTAGAGCTGAGGCCCCCGCTGCTCGGTGCAAGGCTGAGGGAACTGGCCCACTGTAAACACCAGAGGGTGCAGAGGAGTGCAGCCTGGGGAGACCATAATGCAAGGAAGAAAAAGTTTTTTCCATTCTCAGCTGCTTTTGAATCATTCCGCCCTCGGACTGAACGGTCATGCACCTGCTCTCTCTTGGGGCAGGGTTTAATAGCAGAGGCAGTGAAGAGCTTTGAGGGCATCGGCCTGTGCCCTCCTGCACACCTCGCACCGTGGGGGATGCTGGGGGTGTTGTGGCTGGCTGCTTGCTGTCGCCCCGTGTAACCCCGGCCCGGTGAGGCTGAACAGTGACAGCGTGTTGCGAGTGCAGCCTCGTGAGCAGCCTGAGAGGCCACGGGCCGTTTCACCGTGCAGGAGACAGGAGAGGTGCTGCGTCAGACTGAAGGCCTGTCTGTGTCCCGTCCCCAGCCCTGGCTGCTCCCTCAAGCCGCCAACACGCAGACCTCCCTGGCCTCTCCTGTGGCCGCTCTGGTATCTGGCTTCTGACCCCTGGCAGTGCTCACCAGCTGCCGTGCGTTTGCGTGTGTGTGACTGGCCCCATATCACTGCCCTTGACTGCTGGTGAGATCTGCCCGTTCCTCATGGTGCTGGCTGTAACTCTTCGGCCTCCCCGTTACTTGTTACCTTCTGCAGGTTTTTCTGTCCTGTCCGGGGGTCTCCTATGAACTGTTCAGTTAGCTGAATGTCAGGCCGGGGCCCAGTCATCTGCCTGCGAACCTCAAAACCCAGCAGGGATGGGGTTGCCAGGGATCAACCTTGCATTAAGAAGAGGTTGTCCCATTTGCTGGTTCGAGTTTTCTGTCGGCTGACACCAGGCAAAGGCTCATCTAACAGTCAAAATGCAGCTGAATTAACACTGTGCTTTGGCACCCTGCAAGCTTGTTCAGGAAAGGGGGTCTTGTGATGGATGATGATCTGCATAGCTGGCAATAGCCTAGAAGATGAGAATCCTGGATGGTGGGGATCTCTGGGCCCGGGGAGGAGGAGGCAGGGGCACCTTCCCTGAGCCATACTTTACCTGTTGTTGGGCACAGTGCTGGGCATGGTACAGAACCAACATCGCCGTATTCTGGAGCTGGAGGAAGCAGGTGAGGGGCTTTCTGCAGGGCCCTGAGCCAAGGAAGGACATGAACACATACCTGTGACAACTGAGCACGTTCCTTCCCATAGCTCGTGTGTAGGCTGGGCCAGTAGCGGAGTGGGAATGGGGTCCTGCCTGTTAGCATGGTCTGTGGATTTAAAACGGCAAACGGAGGTGCGTGGTCAAAAGGCAAAGCGTCGTGTATGTGTGGAAAAAAGCATGTAAAATCAGATGAGCACATGTGCACAAGTCAGGGCTGTGGGTCAGCTGAGGAGCAGGATGCAGAGAGGGGATAAGCAGCTCCTGATCAGCTCAAAGTGGAACATGAATTTGTGCATTTTGAGAATATTGAAGCATAACCAAAGATGCTAAAAATAAGGATATTTGGGCAGGTACCTAAATTCTTGGTTGCCTGTTTTTCAGGCACTGGGGTAATGCTGAATTCATTGCTCCAGAATAGAGCATAATATACCACTAGGCAATCTTAACTCCCCTTTGATAAAGTTTTGACCACTTAAGTGTGGGATTCAGCTCTCACAGTAACACTCCTAAGTTGAAATGCTGTCATGTCAACATGTCCGAGTCTCTGCTGTGTCTGTGTAGACCTGCTGTGAGCCTGCAGTGCTGTTTGCCTGCTTCTAAGGAGAGCAGAGCTGTTCTCTGGGCTCCACTGGCTGTAGTAGGAGCTGGGATGACTTGGCGAGACCTGCAGGTAGAACCTGAAATGTAGCTCTGAAAGCTGGATCCTACCTGCAGTTACCTTTTTCCTATGAAATAGTTTTCTCATGAAAATAGATAAACCCCCTCTTTGTTTTGGTGTAGAGACCGCATCCACACTAATACCAGTTTAGCCATCTCTTCCCACCTCATAAAGCCAGTGATGCCTCAGATGTTCACACCCGTTTTCACGTTGGTGTTTTCTAGCCTGTGCTCCTGTACACACATCCTGCAGGCAGCGGCCTGCTGAAGGGACACACGTCCTTCACGGGTAGGCAGCTGCAGCCATGCCCCCAGTAGGGAGATGCATCCCTGCTGCCTCCCTGACCTCGGGACGTGGCAGACGGTCCTGCACCTGCTCGGCTCTTTGCCTCTGTGAGCGCTTCTGCATGGGGTGCCCAGCCTTGCTGTCCTGTGCGGCGCTTGTGCCACCGTGCAGCCTGCTCTGCTTGGCCTCGGCGTGTCCCCCCGTCACGGGAGGGCAGCAGCACCCCACCGTGCAGGGAGGCGTCGGGAGAGCAGGGCTCTGGCAGCTGTGCAGGTGACAGACACTTGCGATCGTCAGGAGCTGATGTGGGTGTTGTGATGACCCCAGCAGGGGATGTCGGCACTGGCCTAACCAGCTGGACCCTTTCTCTTGCAGAGTGCTGCGGGCTTTAACGAGATGGCAGCTCCGGCCTCCGCTTATGAGAAAACAAGACCGCTGGAGGCAGGTGAGACAGCTGGGTACCAGCCAGGGCCTGGGGGGAAGCTGTGGGCTTCACGGGCTCTCCGTGGCACCACGCTGGCAGGTGTGTGCTGTGGTGGGATGTGGGTGTAGCCTGTGTTAGGGGCAGGAGAAGGTGCCTGAACTGCAGGTTTCTCTGGGAGAGGCAGAGGTCTGGGGTGCTTCGGGTGGTGGAGGGGGCCATCGGGCAGGCTGTCAGCTCTCTTCTCCACAGGAGCTTCCAGTGGCACCAGCAGCCTGCGGTCACGGTTTGAAAACATGGCTAAGTCCGCAGAGGAGGAGAGCAGAAGGCAGGCAGAGGAGGACCGGGCAAGGCGGCAGGCTCGGGAGCACCAGGCAGCTCGGCGGAAGGTGAGCCGTGGCCATCTTGCCACGTCCCCCAAGGCTTGTAAAGGATGCTTTTCCTCAGGGCTATGCAGCTCCATGTTTTTCTTCCTGGACCCTTTACAGTCACCTCTTGCGTAAACCACTTCCCTGCAGCTGCCAGGGACTGCCACTGAACTTCAGAGCAGTCACTGGATTTCCCCTTTGCCTGTGCGCGGATCAGGCCATGCCTGCACGCAGCGGGGCTCCCGTGCTTTGGCCCACGCTCCCTCTTGCCTCTCGTACCGGGCAGACGCGGTGCAGTTGTACCCCCCCAGTATCCCGGGTCTGTGTTCAGGGTTTCCCAAACTGGAGACTGCACCCAAACCTCCTGTTCACAAACCCTTCTGCACTGTTGTTTCTGTGATCGATGTGCAGATAAGGTTTGGGCTCCCAGAGACATTCCCTCCTTGAGGCACTTTCTGCAGACCCCACAGGCCTGCAAGTGTCCAGTCCCTAGGGCAGGTTTATGGGAGCTGGAACACATTTCAGCTGAAGGAAAATTTTCTGAGTTGCTCTGTTGGGAGTGGGAGCAGACGTCGCTCTGGGCCTCATGCAGAGGGATTGATGGGGTCTGGTGACTTTTCTCCAGCAGGAAATCCCACGGAGAGAAAAGGACCCCGGAGAGGCAGCTCCTGCCCCTGTGCCAGCGAGGGAGCCTGGGGGTGCTGAGCGGGACGGGCCCGTGTCCGGAGATCAGGTGCCAGGGCGGGAGGGGAGAGGGGATCGTTGCACCCAGGAGCGGGCTGTGCTTTGCAGGCAGCCTTGCAGGAAGAAGTGAGGTGCAGCCACAGCGGGGGAGAAGCTTTGGAAGGAGTGAGGGGGGAAGTGTTGGGTGTGATGGGACATGGCTGCACAGCTCTTCACACCGTGAGACAAGCTCTTGGAGTGGGTCAGTGCAGTGGCAGTACAGTGAGTTGGATGTGAGAGAGGTTCAAATACACCCACCGTGAGGTTCTTCACAGCAATCCCAGGTGCCAGTTCAGCACAGACCAATGGCTGAGCTGTTGTGCAGAGGATGATGCTCTGTTTGTGTCATGGTAGCACGAAAGGTTCTCCCAGGGAAGTGGGCTCCCTTGTTTTGGGTGCTGTGCAGTCGTGGCAGAGCTGCCTGCAGTGGATGCTTTGGAGGTGACTTCCCTGTCACTTTGTCACTTTGTGGCAGGAGGCAAAAAGGGAGGATGAGGAAACACCACCCACTTTGCCACCAAGGCCAGCAGATCTGGGCGAAGAGCTGTGCAAGACTCCCAGCCAGGATCAGCCCATCTACACGGAAACTTTGGATGTCAGTGGAGACTATGAGGAGGTGCCAGAGCCCTCTGACTACTATGACAGCACCAGTGGAGGTGCTGACTATGAGGAGCTGCCAGCACCCTTGGGAAAGCCAGATGCTCTCTATGACTGTGGAGGAGATGGAGGCGAGGACTATGAGGAGATCCTCCCCGAGGAGCTTAGCCAGAGCCAGCACCACCTGGGTGAGTACTGAGGGAAGAGCCCATGTCCTGGGGAGCTTGTATGTGTCCACGCACCTCGCTGTATGTGTGGCACAGACTCAGGGGGAATTCGTATCCTGAAGTTTACTGTGGTCAGGGTGGCAGCCCATGATGATGGAGACTTGGTCGTCTCCCATTTGCCTTGCCCATCTCCAGGGCGTGAGGTCAGCTGCGGGGGATGCTGGGCCAGGCAGACGGTGTCTCTGCTGGAGCAGCACTCGGGCAGGAGGATCAGGGGGCTGCTGTGGGCTCTGGAGAGCCTGGGCCTGGAGTGATGTTCTTGGGGCACTGTTTCCTGGCAAGCAACTGCCAGTGCTTCACTGAGGCCTGGGGGTGCCCTCCTAATGCAGCCTGTTGCTCAGATGGCTGGTGCTGGTGAGCCCTGATCTGGTGTGTCTCCTGGGTGTGGGGGTGCAGGGTGGTCTTCCTCCAGGCACATAAGCAAACCGATGGGCTGCTGTTTCTGTCGCAGCATCGCTGGTACTGGAGATGGTAAGTGCAGGGGCTGGAGTTATGGCCAGCCTTTTTCTTGGGAGAGGAACATGAAGCATCAGGACCCCACCTCTCCTTGCAGAAGGGCAGGGAAGCCGTACCTTGCTCTGAGCCATGGTGCACCTCTCCCTGTCGGTGGGGTTGGATGGGATTCACCCCAAGGCTGACGGCTGGCTGGGGGTGGCACTGGCCAGATCTCTATGACTGATCTCATACATACTGAGCTGTGTGACTGCGGTTAGCCTCTTTCTCATTCTCCTGTCCTGTCTTCTGCAGGGGAAACGGACAATGTTTATGAGGTGGAGAGCCCTGGGACCTGTGCAGTGGCTCTCTATGATTACCAAGGAGGTGGGTCTGCCACCCAGGCTGTGGGGTGAGGCTGGGGTGGTGTGACAGGGTGAAAAGATTTCGACTTGGTGGTTTAAATTTCTTCCTCTTGGAAAGCAGAATGAGGCCTGACTTGAGAATGCAGAAGCTTCATCTTTCATCTGTGGAGTCTTGTGCTTTATCTGTGCTGTTTGATGGGGTTGGATGATATGAACTCTGAGGGTTATCAGAATGCTTGTTCTGTATTCTCCTCCTGGGGGGGCAGTGGTCAGAGGGATGTAAAACCAGCTCACACTGGGGTTATCTTTGCATTGTGACTATCTTTTCTGAACAATTTTGTAGATGGAGATGATGAGATATCTTTTGATCCTGATGACACAATCACACACATCGAGATGGTGGATGAAGGCTGGTGGCGGGGGCAGTGCCGGGGCAAAGTTGGCCTCTTTCCAGCAAATTATGTGAAGCTTCTGCAGTGAAACCAGCATTGTCCAAGCTGATTCCTTCCAAACTTTGGCCTCTCTGCTTCAGCCTTTTACATGTTATTAGCTTAATTTGTCTTGGCCCGGTGTTCCTAACATGCAAGAAATACCAAGGAGTAAACCGGCAGTGGCTGAGGGAACGTTTTGGCCTATGCCCATGAGGACTTCGGTTCCCATCCACTTCCAGTTGGGACAGGTGGGATGGTTTAAGAGCATGTGAGCGTTGTATGTCTTTTCTACCTAGGCTGTCCCACATGTCAGCCAGCCAGCTTGCGGGAGGAGCGTGTCTATTCCTGTTCCCAACAGGGAAATTCACAGAAAAGAAGCACCAACTCTAATCCAGTCAAGGCAAAAGGGACATGAGCTATGGGACCTTTATAAGTTGCTGTGGCCCTGGATCTCATCATACCCAGGGGCCAAGTAAAAGAGCACTGTGAAGGCCAAACTTGCCCTTGTTCCCAAGAAGGGTTTCCACTTGCAGGATGAACTGTGTTTGCAGCAGGGGGTGGAGAAACACGAACCTGGTCTGTCTGGGCACATTTCAGGGCTGGGGCCTGGGAATGTTTGACCATCACAGTGAACAACACAGACACAAGCTTGGCTGTAGTGAGCTGTTCCATTAAACAGGAGAAGTGTGTGCTGGCTCAGTGAAAAGGCAGGATGATCCTGCTGAGGTAGGAGATTACTCACTTGGTTTTCTTCTGTGTGCTAAGAATGCTCTTGGGAGATGTGTTGTTTCTGGGGTAAACCTTGAAAGAGGAAGTCTAGAAAATGGATTATTTTTTGAGAAAAGTGATTCTGTATTGGAGCAAGGAAAAATACTGAAAGGCTTCACTTAACAAAGAGTATGTTAATAACTGTCTTGGTCCTCATGCAGGCAGCCCATCAGAGGAGTGTTCTGCTAGAGAAATCTTTTCAGTTGAGCAAGTGAATCAGAATAAGTGTTGCTTGATACAGGCAGGAGAATATTTTTGAGAGCTCCATTTTTCCTCTTAACTGCTCTGACAGCATAAATAAGCACAGAGGTGCAGGTGGGTCGGGAAGAGCTGTCCCAGCTTGTCCCCAGCCTAAGGCTCCAGTATGCTTCAGTCAGTGCTAAAGGGCAGCTTCCACATCCAGTATCTCTCTCCTGGTGGGTGGTTTGAGTCCCTGTGCTGAAGTGAGGCCTTCCCCCTGTCAGCAAAAGGGTTAATGCCTCAGAGGCCTTTGCAGGACTCGTAGTTCAGAAATATTTGCAGGTAATGGTCTCACCAGTTCAGTCAAGGAAGGACTGAATTACTTGTAAAGGTGTGCTGGCTAGAGCCTCATCTGAAGAATGCTGTTATTATTTACAATATCCTGCTCATCTGACACAGTTTGGTGAAGAATGAGTTCCATAAACTAAAGGTATATAAACTCTGTAACGGCCTCATTTGGGCAGAGTTCCTCTCAGCAGTGTCTGTCACTCTGCTGCGCTGTGCTCTCCCTCGTAACTAGGAATAAACCGCTTGTGTTCTGACCTGGCTGAAGTTGCATCCTGGTTGTTCTGTCACAGCACGTCCCCGTGCCTGTTGTAGGCTGGGTTCCTTGCACAGTGGAAAGGGCCCGGACTCCAGCCCTCCTTCATCACAGGTGTGGGGAAAAGGCTGAGCAGGTGGGAAGCAAGACAAGAGGGATTTTTTTATTTTTAATGTTCACAGCAGTTTTCAGTAATAATCTGACATGAACTAAAGCCCTCCCTGGAACCAGTATACTCCAGGCTAGATGGTTCACATGTCACGGTAGGAGCTGGTTGTTCCTTTGTGGTGTGCAAGTACCGTCACAACAGGACTAAATCAGGGCCTGAGTAGCACAGCGCAGGGCAGAGCGTCCCGCTGTGACGCCTTCAGAGTTCAGTGAGGCTCGTGGGTCGGTTCTGGACTGTCCTGCACTTGGACAAGACTGTACTACCTGGGAGGCAGTGCAGCATCCCTGCTCCGTGTTTGATACTGAGGGAAATTCACAGTCTGTGTCGTCAGTCATGGGAAAGACACATTGTGACTCATGTTAGAAACTGTCAGTGTGAATTTTTCTGGAGGTTTTTGGTTTGGGTTTTTGATTGGCTGGTTTTAGGTTTTTTTGTGGGTTTTTCTGAAATAGCTTTCCCAATATCTTTTCCTCATGCAGTTTGCCCTTTATTTCCTGATGTTCCTTTGCAGGGGGCTCTCCACAATGGGCCTCATTGTGTCAGACTCTCATGTGTCCTGTTGAGACTCTGAACTAGGGATGTTTCAGTAATTTTTTACAAGAAGAAGGTAGCAAGTAGAGCTGGCTGAGAGGCTTGCTACCTGTTTGGGTAGGAGCAACAGGCCATCCCAACACACTGGTTGCAGAAATATTTATTTCCCTGAAGAATAACATCAGTGTACACTGTGCACTACAAAGAACTGGCAAAGTGCTCCCAACAAGCTCTGTGCCTCATAGGCTCATTTTTTGACTCTCACATGGGTTTCTTTGGGAATGGATTGGATTCCTCTGGGTATCTCCTGGTAACTGAGCTATGGATGAGCATGTTTTGGCCCCTTCCAGGCAACATGCCCCTGTGTGGCACAGCCGCAGTGGCTGCAGGCGTGCACAGCCTGTGCCAGCGTCTGTCTCCACACAGACACTTGCACCGGTGACTGGCTGCTCACGGCTTCTGCCATGGCACTGGACACAGCTGGCTCTCGTGTACCTGCCTGCAGATTTGGCCAGCAGTGGGAACCCCAACACCCGTGCGATCGCTTAAGCCTGTCCCCAGTTGCAGAGCCCCTGCAAGAAGGGGTTAAGCTGAGGCAGTGGCAGCTGGACGGAGCTGGCTGCCCTGTGTCACCAGCCAGCCCTCAACGGCCGCAGCCACACCACTCCCCTGCATTTTGATTTGTTGTGTCTGTAAGGCAAAGCAAGCGTTTCTGGCGAGGATTTAAGCAATGCCAGCTCACAGCTCAGTGCCGATAACTTGCTGTTTGACCAAAGCACTGAGAATAAGGGGTGGCCTGTTTAAACCACCGGCTGCTGTGCTAATGTCCAAAATGCTGCAGAGCTCTGGGGGGAAACCCAGCAAACGTCAGACTTGGTGCCAAAGTGCGTGTGGAAGGAGGGTGCTGTGACAGCCCCTTTGCAGAGGCCAGATTTTGCAGTCTTAAGACGCTGCCCTGTCTCCTGCGCAGGGCCTGGCTCAGCCTCTCGGGCATCCCCAAGGCAGAGTTCACAGCCTTGCTCGGGGCCAGCATCTGTCTGGTACCACATGAAATTGCCTTTTACAATGGCCCTTGGTGGCAGCATAGCTGCAGCGGGTCCTGTGCTGAGCTCAGAACGTGACACCTGCAGAATCAAGACAATCCTGGAACTGTAGCCCTATTCCTGATTTGATTTTGCCATTCTGCCAGCAGCGATGTGCCGAGGGCCAGAGAAGTGATGGCAGTGTGCCGCAAGCAGCCGCGGTCGGGTGCCCTGAGCCCGCTGCTGCCATCAGACTTCCCACAGACGGGCAATGCTGCCCGGGGCCGTGGCCGCGCTGGTGAAGCCCTGGTGTTGCTCATGCGCTGCCGCCCAGCCAGCCCCGTCTCCCCACGGCCTTCCGCAGGGCCCCCCGCACCTCCTGGTTGCGGAGGCTGTAGATGAGGGGGTTCAGCATGGGGGTGACTATGCAGTACAGTGCGGAGACCAGCGTGTCTGCTGCCGGGGAGGAGCCGGGGCTGGGCTGGTTGTAGTTCAGGTTGGCCGTCACAAAGTACAGGACCACCACGAGCAGGTGGGCAGAGCAGGTGGAGAAGGCCTTGCTCCGGCCGGCGGCCACGGGCATCCTGAGGATGGTGGCCAGGATGCGGAGGTAGGAGACAACGACCAGCAGGAAGGGGCTGAGGCCCACGAAGATACTGGCAGCGTGGAGGGCCATTTCGCTGGGGCGGGTGTTGCTGCAGGCGGCCCTCAGCAGCGGAGGGACGTCACAGAAGATGTGCTGGAGCCGGGCGGCCCCGCAGAAGGAGAGTCTGGAGGCCAGGAGCGTGTGCACAGCCGAGTCCAGCATCCCCCAGAGCCAGCAGCCGGTGGCTGCTGCCACACAGACGCCCCAGCTCATGGCGTGGGGGTAGCGCAGAGGCTGGCAGATGGCGGCGTAGCGGTCGTAGGCCATGACGGCCAGCAGCGCGCACTCAGCCCCCGCGCACCCCATCAGGAAGAACATCTGCGCCAGGCACCCACCGTAGGAGATGGTTGCCTGCGGGCACAGAGCGTTGGCCAGGATCTTGGGCACTGTCACCGATGAGTAGCAAATGTCCAGGCAGGACAGGTGGCTGAGGAAGAAGTACATGGGGCTGTGGAGATGGGGATCCAGGAACACGAGGGCAAGTATTGCAGAGTTCCCCAGCAGCGTGGCCAGGTAAACGGCCAGGAAGAGAACAAAGATGAAGGGCTGGCCACGGGGAAAGCTCAGGAGCATGAATTCCGTCACGTGAGTTTGGTTCTCCCCTGCCATGGGGCCGGCTGGGTTGGTCTGTGGGCAGAAATGAGCGCTGTGAGGAGGAGGTGGCGACTCTGAGCCAGGGGTCTGGAGCACAACCACCCCCAAGGCAACAGTCTCACTGCTAGGATGGTCTCGGTCTACCTCCATAGTGGTTGAAAGCTTCCCACACTGATTTCACAGACACCAGGGGTTTAGAGTCCAGGGAGCTGCCGGTCAGTGTTGGATACCTGTCTGCAACAGAATCACAGAGAAGAAACCGAGAACAGTGTGCAGCTCGACTAACCCACACCTCCTGGGTTCTCCTGCCAGCCCAACCCCCTGTCTTCATGAGTACACCAAGCACATCTCTCTTTCCCTCCTGGTTGCACTTATGGCAACTACATGCTTTCCTACCACCGGGATGTAGTTGCATCATTCCTTAGATGCCACAGCCACTAAGCTTACTCTTCCCCAGCTGCTGGGTTGGGGATGTGGCATCACCCTGCACCCGTTAAAAGAATAATTTTTTTTCTTTATCCTGTCTCCTGCTCTGCCATTTTTCTTCTGCTTTGCTCTGTGATAATCAGCACGTAAAAAACATGTTCCAACTGAGGGTGACTCACCACGTGGTGTTTGTTGAGCCACAGGTGAGTTTAAGCCATCAGGGGTCTTCACTGGCCTGGGCATCCTGATCTTTCTTCCATCCTCCCGACACAAGAGTTTTCCTTACCAGCATGTGACGATACAGTCACCATGTCTGCATGATGGACAAGGCATGGGGAAGCAGTTATTGCTCATAAACCTTAACCAAGGGCTGCTGAAGGTGGTACTTGCTGGATGCCTGTGGCCAGGGCTGCTGCTGCCCACCACGCCAGTGCCACGAAGCCCAGCAGACGCAGCCCAGGGGCACCGGTGCACAAATACAGCCTGGTGCAGCAGCCTCAGAGGGACTGCTGAAGAAATGGGGCTGAGAGGGGGTTAAAAACCACCTGCAGTTACCTTGTCTTGGGGTGCGGATCTGTCCCAGCCAGTGCTTGGCACAGGCACACTGTACTCAGGGGCAGCTCTTGGCTGGGTGAGGTGGAGGATCCAGAGAGGCTTGAGCTCACACACGTGATGACAAGGGGGCAAACAGGGCTGCATGACAGCACAGGGCACTGCGGGGACCACAGGCGATCGTGGGGCTGTGCATAATAAACTCCTGTTCTCCCTATGCAGCTTTTTCGTTGGGTCCATTCGGCTGCCTCGGCAGATGTCAGGACTCTATTCCCAAATCAGAGAAGAGGGTGAGCGGGCGCGGCGGCGCGTTGGGCAGGAGCTGCAGCGGGGCAGGTCTCGCTGACAGCGCTGGGGTGTGAGGGAGGGTGCCTCACTGAACTCCAGGATTTAGTCCCCTGCTATTCTGACTTGGCAGTTGTACACTTCAGAACACGGCCCACCTGCCTCAGTACAGAGCAGCTGTGAGAAGCTTTTCCTTACAGGTAACTCCAACAAACCTCCCGCAGTCAGGATTCAACAGCGTTCCCAGACAAGCTGTCAATTCATGTCACTCTCCATCTACTAAACATTGAAGATGTCACCTGATGGCTCTGCAGGGGCCCATTGCCATTATATAAGACCAAAGTGAATAAAAGCCTTCCCCTCCTCTTTATAGAGCAACTGAGGTCAATTGTCATGTGTCTTCACAAGATTAAACAAATTTCAAGTTCGTCCCCTTCCTTTACACCCATTAATCTGTTTTTAACTTCTCTGTCCAAAGCACGTATCCACGTATCAGTTGTTATGTTAAAATGTTGAGCAATGGAGAATTCACTGCTGCTGTTGGGAGGTTTTTTCCTTACAGCTACTTATCACAAGAAACTGTCAAAGCACTGTTAAAAATTGTGTGGGTTTTTTCCCTGTTGGAATTGCTCAAATGTCAGCTCTGTCTCATTCATAATTTTCAGGTCTTTCTCTTCCAGATTAAGGACCCTCTTTCTAATCGTATTTTCCCCCTGCTTCTACTTGTGCACTGTGATCAGTATCAGTGATTACAAAGTAGAAGAGCTAAGTTCTGATTCGCTTCCCTTTTACTCTCCAGTTTTTCAGCTTTTTAAAAAATAATATCAAGAGGAAAACTTGCAATCAAAAGATTAATTTTCTTTGCCGAGCCTAGTGACATCCAAACTTTTTAGTCCATCTGGGATGTGAGGGCTACAAGGCTGAGAAACCACTGCCTGGTCAAGCTCTCCAGCAGTCTCCAGATCAATATTGTTTTTGACAGGTTTTTTTTGTCACTAATTTTACATACATTCAGCAGGTACCTAAGGACTGTATCATCCAATATTCTGGAACTCTCAGATAGTTGCTCTTCCTCCAGCCAGCCCCAGCCAAAGCCATGGACATTTTGATGCAAGAACAGCCCAGCTTGCTTAGCCCAGCGTCGTGGCCAGGATCGGGTGCCTGAGAGGGGCGAGGGCTGGGGGCGACCACAGCAGTGTTCCCTCAGAATCACCTCCTGTCTCCAGCTGTCCCTGCCTGCAGACCTGCCTGATGTGCACATCGAGCTCTATAGAATCACAGATCAGCTAGGTTGGAAAGGACCTTGAAGATCATCTAGTCCAACCGTTAACCTAGCACTGACAGTTCCCAACTACAAAATAAATTAAAAATTACTTATGTGTGAACTTTCACAGCGCTAAGGCCGTTGGTGGTTTCATCAGGGCTCAAGTGCCTCTCTGCTGTGGAGGTGTGAGCAGGGAGGGCTCTGTCCAGGACCTTGTTGGGCACTTTTACCGCTGACCTGTAGCCAGAGGCAGGAGTCTGCAGGCAAGTTACAGTGAAGCTGGCACCGGTGAAGGTGGGGACCTGCCTGCTGCATTGGAGGAATAGGGGACCTCAGGAACCAGAGTGACAAAAATAAGAATAAACGTAATAGTCAGAGGTTAGGCATGTAAGGGTGAGTCACCTGTTTGTGCTCCGAACTGGGGCTCAACACTTGGAATAAGAGCAGGTGAGCAAGAGGCGTGTGAACCCCCTGCCTCTGGTTTGCTGTAGGTACCCAGCGATAACGCACAAGTCATCGTACTGGCAGGAGCAGCAGGGAATGGTTAGTTCCACTGCAGGAGGACGGTGAGTTCTGAAGAGCCACAGGCGATGCTCTCCCACGCTGACAAATTCAGGATGGATTAAAAATGGAGCTACAGGGCTACGGTAGAGCTGCAGCAGCTGTGCAGAGGAATGACCCTGATTTTTCACCATGGTCTGAAGCAGGGTAGCAGTCAGTGGACGCAGCCACATGACAAGAAACGCCAGATTTACACCCTTTGTCCTCAGACATCCTGTACACTGTGAAATAGGAAGACACGGTAAGAAAATCTCCCTTTCTCCCTTGGACTGCACAGGAATGAGCCTTGAAAGAGTCTCCCCCTTGTCTCAGCTCCTTTCCTCTCTCTCACTTGCACTGGAGGCAATTTCTCGTGGTAACTAATGGCTTACAAAGTATTTCCCCGTGCAGCTACACCTGTCCCCACCACTGACCGGACCAGAAAGGCTGGGCAGGGGTGCAGAGAGGGAGCACTGATGCCATCAGTGCTGGGGAGGCAGCTGGTTTCTGTCATTCCTGCCGGAGAGGGGAGGCAGCCCCACTGCTGCCATGGTGGCTGAGACCCCGCTCAGCCCCGGCGCAGCCCCTGCAGCGGGTGCCCTTCTGCCCAGCTCCAGCATTTGGGGTGCATTATGTTGCTGTTGCTCTTTCGGAAGGGCAGATGTGCTCTGTGCCTACCCAGGGAAGCCAGTGGCTCTGGCAGAAGGACGTGGCTCTCCTCGCCAGGCCACCACGTCCCGTTTGCGCTCAGGTGAGCGGCGCAGACAGCCTGGAGCACGCGGCTCCGGGAGGTCCTGACCTGGGCTGCGACCCCATCCCAGTTTGAGGCGATGGCTGGGCTGAGGGAGCCAGCAATAACGCAGGATTCATTTCTCCTGGAAGGGCTGACGGGGTGGTTGTGTTTGAGGCATGCCCAGCAGCCTGCCCGCATGCCCAGCCCCCCCAGGAGCCCCGGGGTGCAGTACTGGGTTTGCCCCCAGTAGCATGGCAGCAGGGAGCCCTGTGAGGGTCCCACCATGCGTGAGGCTCTGCCCCACCATAGGCAGCACTCCTGCCCTCCCTTACCTCCCTTACCTCCATGTCCAAGAGCAAACAGGGGACAGCACCTGGTGCTTGGGAAGAGGAAGAACTAGCAATGTCCCCCTTACCTGCAGAGGAAAAGCTGTGTGTCCTCCAGGCTTTGAGTGGAGGGGAGGCTTTTAACCCTGCAAGGGCCCTGGGGAGAGGCTTTCAGAGGTCGCTCTTGTTCAGTGGCAGAGCAAGGAGCAGAGGAGCATTTGCCCAATCAGCCTGCACAAGTGGGATGTGAGCCCACAGGACAGAGCCCTCCCGGCACAGGACCCACCCTGATCCCCTGTTCTGCTCCCGGCCGGGCCAAGTGCAGACCAGGCAGAGCTCTCCAGCCCTGGCCTCCCGCCCCAGCCCTGCGGCACGTCCTGAGGTGCTGGGCTGCAGCAGGACGGACCCTGCCAGGCGCCCTGGCCAGGGGAGGGTGGCTGGCTGGGGCGCCGAGCTGCAGCCCCTCTGCCCTGAGTCCTTCTTTATGACCCCACTGTGTCTGCTGCAGGGCTGTGGGTACCTACACCGGCCGTTGGCTACACTCGCAGTGACAAACCCGTGGGCAACACAGCGCCGGGTGACTGCTTGGGATCTGCACCCCAGCCGTGTCCGCCCAGCCCAGGCTGTGCGGGGTGCTTGGAGGGGAGAGTGTGGGGACTAGGAGAGACCACAGCTGTGGCGGGACCGTGACCTGGCAGCAGCTCTGACTGGGCTTAGTTAAGGCACCAAGCAGAGCCCTGTGGATTCTGGAAGAACTAGATGGCGGATTACATGGACTTACACAGGGTGAATGCTGCCTGCTCTGAGCCTGGAGCCATCCCCAAAAGAAACAGCAGGTTTAGCTGGGGTTCACCACATAGTGCCGTGGAAATGTGAAGTGGGAAACCAAGGACATGCAGAGACTGCAACAGGGAACGAATCTGGGGATCGAGACTGAGCTATGATCATCTCTGCAGCAGGAATGCAGCATCGCTTTGCTGATTTCTGTTTCCTGGTGATTGAGCAATAGGAGCTGATCCTACAACAACCTCCGTACCTGCAATTTCAAGAGTTGAGGAGCTGAGCAGTAACATCGTTTGGAGAGTAGGGAAAGCACAGCCAGCAACCCTACACAGAGGGAACACCCGTGTGGAAATTCAGCATAGACACTAGATGAAACTACTACCTCACTGAGGGGGAAAATCCGTGTCAGAAAGAACGTCTGAGGTTGTGAATGACTGACTTGCAGTAGCCGCGAGCCCTGCGTGTCTATGGGTGTTTTCAGGGCAGCTGAGTTGACAGGGCAGAAGGACCAGGATAACAGGGCTTTGTGACAGACATTTGCTTTGAGCTTACAAAATTGCACCTTCCTCTTGTGGCCCCCTGCAAGGCCATTCCTTCTGCAGGCTGGACTGGTCC